GATAATAATAATGATGATGATATATTACGAAATAATTGGAATAATAGTCTTTTCGAAGATGATAATCACAAAGAACATAATAGTTGGAATAATTGAATTACAATTAAATCAATAATCATGAACGTTTCTAATCTTTGTTGATAAGTATCTGTTATTTTTCTTTTAATTAATAAGCAATGCAAAAGTCTTTGAAGGAATATCAACATCTATTTTTCAACAATGTAACATCGAATTGACTTAGATATTTTCCGTTTGAAGAATATATAGAAAAAAAAATCGATATTCTGGAATAGCCATTTTTATATATCGTTCTCATTGCCGAATATCATAGGAGACGGGACGGGAAAAAAATCGTTCCTGCAGAACACTAATAAAAATTTTATTATAATACTACAAAAAAATACTATAATATATACGTTGTAATGAGAACAACATATCTGCTTGCAAACACTTACATTGGTGGTCATATTAGTTGATATTTCGACACTTCTCTCGCTTATTTCTTTTTCCATTAATATTTATGTACTGCTAGGACCTGGTGACTATCCATTATTACAAAAATACCAAAAGAAAATTATTGTATACAAAAGAAAAAACTTTAGACAATAAAATATATCAATAATATTAGGAAAATGGAATGAATATTCATTGAACTAGTATTACCTAAGCAGACAAGAGTTTCTGAAAATGCATTAAAATGCTTTAATTATGGTTCCCGTTTAGAGTCCATCGAGTTAAAGTTCGAAAATTCTAGATCCGATGAGCTCTCTTCCCATTTGGACTTTTTTACACTCATTCAGAAAATACAAAATCCAGTTACTGTCATCATAAAAAAAAGGTGTTTGGACATGCTCTCAAAAAGACAATTTTTGGCATCTGGAAAAACGTGTGAAAAATTATTTCCACACTATGTTGACAAGTATTGCAAATGAAGATGACTTTTTTTTTGTGCGTTGTGCATGTCAAAAATATGGTGAGAAAACTTTTTGGATGTTTTCCCGGTGGAAAATGTTGTATATTTAAATGTGTTCAAGCACTTTTTATAATGAAAGTAGCTAGTTTTAGTATTTTCTGAATATACATGAAAACGCTCAAAAAGTAATCATGATTAAAGGACTTTAAAATATTTTCAAAAACTCATGTCTGTTTGAGTACAACAATCACCATCATGATTTTCACAAAACAAAACAAAAAATAATGAAGGTTTAGAAATTTTAGAATGTCATATTTTATGTTGTAATAGATGTCTATGAATGCTTTATGTAAATAAATAGACGTCTACTACAATATGACATTCAAGATGATTTACATAATAAAAATTTACGTATTCTAGTCGGAGTTTGAATTAATTGGAAAGAGAATCATTTTTAGTAAGTTCAATGTGATATGTCAAATAGTAAAAATAGAACAAATGTATTCAGATTTATTTTCTTATTGTTGATGAATAATTTCCGGAAATATTATTAGTATATAGCATATATGAAATAATGATATTGAGTGAAATTTATCAGTAATTAATGAATATCTTACAAAATTTTTACAATTGTGTTTGTTCTTGAATATGAAACATTCAAACTAAGAATTTGTTCAATTTTAGATTGATCTAGGTCAATCTTGGACTGCA